TTTTGCACACCTGCTAGTCCGAGTGAAAATAATTGCATAGTACCTAAACCTAGTTGGCGACAAACATCCAAGATAATCGAAAATACATTACTACTGACGCTGAAAACCATGTACTCAAGCTACACACCCAACAACTGTCATGCTACTGATTCAAACAACAATTAAACAAGCGGTTGGCAGATTCCATAAGCTATTAATTTGACAGGCTATAAATGAGGCTAAACTTCAAGTTAATAACTTGTTAAACGATCTACTTTGGGAACCATTACCATTTTCCTATCATATTTTGGTTGTTCAAGAACTCAAAAACCATGAATAAATTGAATTTTATATTCTAATTTCCCAGCACACAAGCATGACGCTGCGGCGAACTTCAGTTACCATTATTTGTCATTAAATAAGATATTCATACAAACCAAGGTCTACTTAAAGAGATTCCCACCAGTAGTAAAACAAAAAGTAGAGAAACACATTGTTCTTTCTTTATTCTCTTACAGCTGACAAAAAGAACTTATATACCTGAATCCTATTGAATAGGGGAAAGATATAGTCCGAAGAATCTTGTTGAATAGGGAAAACTTTATTAATCACCCCCTTTTTGAAAAACTCCTCAAACACCCTCATCAAATCTTCCTTTATTTCATCCCAACAAACCTAATACATTGCCATGGTGAATTCATCCAGACCTGGTGCCTTTTTTCTACTACAGTAAAAAATAGCTCTCCTCACTTTCTCCATCTGAGTATAAAATTGTTAATTTTAGCTTAACTTATATTTGATAACCTCATTTTTTTTCATTAATTGATAAGTCTGTATCAACTCAAATTATTTTTTGATCAACTTATAATTTTTTTTATCGTAATTTGTGAGTTTTTTATTGATAATTTTGTGTATTACTATTATTAGGATGAACAAATATGTATTACACAGAACAATAATCTCTCCGTAAAAAGTCTAGTAGATAAAATATATATAGATTGATGAAAAAAAGTCCAAGAAAGGGTCATAGTAACCTTAAAAAAATAGAAAATAATACTTTCCAAAAAATAAAAATTTAATTATCTGTGAGTGACAAAAATTAATTGGGCCAAACTCAAACCAATCTGAATGAGAGTAACTTTAAAATATAGAAAATAATACTTTCCAAAAAAATAAAAATTTAATTATTGTGAGTGACAAATTAATTGGGCCAGCCCTAACCAATCCAAATTAGGGTAACCAGGACAAGAATTGAGATATTTTCTATTATTTTTTTACACAATTTAACTCAACCATAAATCTCTTACAATGTAGGTGGGCCCTTGGTGAACCATAAAACAATTGCAATAATTTCTAAACTGTCTAACAGAGTTATTTTTGTTTGGTTTTTAGACAAAAAGATAAAATAAAAATAAAACCCCAATTTACCATTGCACTTTGCAGTGAGAGAGAGAGAGGGAGAAAATTGTTTAGAAGAGCAAGTTACGATGCAGGCATTATAACAATTATGATTTACATGTGTAAATCACTAGTACGGATTGTGAGGGAGATTCTTCTTCAACAAAATAGCTCTGTACGATTCAGTTTCGCTTTCTGCAACAGTTTTGGAGAATTAGAACTCCAATCAGGTAATTCGCATTTCATGATGTTTTGCTTTTCATTTTTACATGCATTTCATGGTGTATAGCTTTTCACGATTTCTCCATAGACGATTTCTCCATAGATTGTATGCATAATTGTGAGGAGTTTAATGTTAATTATTTCACAAAATTGCTCTTATGTGTAGGATTTATGCAGAGACGAACATTTATATAGTTTTTGTATGTGTGTGTGTGTGTGTCTTACCATTATTTCTTGTCTTTCAGCTAGCAAATGATTGATTCCGTAAGTTTGAAAAAAGTTAAAACACACTTTTTTGTTTATTCAGTATGAAGATTGCATCTAAAGATGGATTTTAAAATAGTTCATCTAGTTAATGTCTATTACTTGTTCGAAGAAAATCTTTTAGATGATTTACTCTGTGTCGTTGCTTTGGTTGCCAGGAGTAGAATTCCATTGGAGATCAAAATCAACACAGTTCAATGACATTGTGTATGGTGTATGTTTTGATACACTTAAAGTTTTTAAAATAAATGTGAACATGATTCGTGAAAACCAAATGATTGTTGAAAATGTTGTAGATGAGCTGGTTTACAGCTGAGGTTTGGAAGCTAGATTATGATGGCTTTTTACAAGCACGGTAATGAAATGTTACCGGAGAAGAGGAGAGGAGTTTTTGGTTGTGTTTTTAAGTATCCTGATCAAAGTGAGCCGAGTCTGTGGGTCATTCGTCGAGGGTGGAGGTTTGGTCGGATTTCCAGATGAAGGCTTTTGTTCTGGTTGTTTTCACTTGCTGTGATCTTCTCGATCTTTTTGGATGTTTTTGGCTTGAAGATGCTCTTTCATGGTAAGGTTAAGGAATTTCCTTGTTTTGCGTCAAAGCACTTTCATTCCTTGCTCCTTTTTTATTGTATTGCTCAGTCATAATATGAAACTTATAACGGTTCTATGTGGATTGTAGGAATAGAATCCGCAGTGAAAAACGCTTCAGTTGTTATTTGCAGCTTCATCTTAGTTTGCTGGGTGAGATTTACCTGTTTAACTGCTAGCTGAAACAGCATAACCTTGAGACACAAGTCCTTAACTTGTTTGCTTATGGCATTTCTAATTTTGACCTTCTTAATCTGCTAAACTCGAGGTGTGTAATAGCGAACATAAAGTTTATAATTTTTTCACTGCTTGCAACTAAGGGGCCCGATGTTTTGGAATGGCCAAGGCTCTGATTGGTAAACCGACATGTAAAATGTGATCGAAATATAAAATGGAAATTTTAATTTTGAAGCTATTGGAGTTGAATAGACATCATGTTTTTATTGTTTTGATTATACAAGGAATTGTTATTATAATTGAAATTCTAACCCAAAACTTTGAAAGAAGAAGGGCGAAGATTTGAAGATGGCTAGTTAAAACATTTGAAGAACGGAGACCTATGGGTTATAATCGATGAAAATGCCCCCTTCCCTCCAAACCACAACCAAAGAAGCATAATTTTTAGAAAGCAAAAAGTTGAGATAGATGGCAAGAAGCACCATGAGGAATACTAAGGATCTGATATAAATTCCTGAAACAACAAAGGTTCCCAGCAACCAGAAGCAGATTCAAAAGTCTCTTTAGGAGTCTTATTCTGCATCTCTGCTCCCAAATCAGTGATGGGCCCCATTTTTCATGGCAAACTCAGCGGCCCACCCGCAGCGACCTTGCTTTGTCACGGAAGTGGGCTGCAGTCCAAGGCAGGTAGTCTAATGTCATCCAGCTCGGTATATATTTGTTCGGTAGTCTCGAGCATAGCGGTGTGGATCAGCTCAAGAAACAAAAGCTCGGTATAGTATAAATTCCAAACAGCTATCGTCGTGTCACGTGTCCATGGGATGGAGATAACTTCGGGTGATTCTAACGAACAAATATTTATTGATAAAGGGAACATTTGCGTATATTCTGTTTTTAAGAGTTGTGGACACAAAATGCGTTAGTGTGACGGACTCTGTTACATGACAAATAAAGAGGAAACCACAAAATCAATTAAGAAACCGAAAAAATTATAGAAAATCTTAGATGATCACATGTATAAGTAAAAGATGAAGGCATAGAAAAAAAAAAGTTTTTCTCAAATTTTTATTTTGAATACATTATGTAAAAAAGCTAAGTCAAGTAACTTATTTTAACCACCGACTTTTTTTTCAAACAATACAATCTTTAAGAAACAAGAGTCTCTATTATAGTAGATTTAACATTAATCGTTCGACTAAGATGAACCATTTATATATTATTCTTAGATTCAAAATCAATGTTGGCTCTCTTATTAACCCAAATATTCATAAACACCACCCCCCCCCCAAAAAAAAAAAAAAAAAAAAAAAAAAAAAAACAGGGCTACGGTAATAATTCTGCAATTGAGTATAACGATTTCGAGCCCATCAGATGTTAATACATGATGTTGTTGGGGGTAACCGTGGTTTGAAGGTTGGCTATGCGTGGTGAGTGATGTGACTGGGGTACTCTTGATGTCATGGCGGAGTAAGCATCTTTGCTAGGAGGGCAAAATAAAAATAAAATAATCGCTAATAGATAAAAAAAATTTATAAATTTAAACATGAGAATTATATTACAATTAATGGTTAAATTATTCTATAACAAACAAAATCTATATTAGTGTATCAAAGGAAAATGTATAATTTTTTAAAATCTAAAAAGTCATCTATAATTGATCCTATACTAAGTATTTTAGTAATTTCCTTCAAATAGTTCGTTACAAAAGTAATCACTAATTTTGTTGTAAAGTCTAATTGAAATCATCCTATATCGCATTGCGAAAACAATTACTCATATTAAGTACAATAGGTATATATTCACGTTTTAATCGCTTACAAGCCATTAACTCGTAAAAAATAAAAAATCATGGACAACTGTACGATTATTTTAACAAGCTGGTACAATTTATTAAACAAAAAATATGTATTATCTTTTCAAACATACATAAGGGTTGTAGAATTTCACATAATATTAATTATGTTTAATTTATTGACATAATTTATTATCGTAATTTATCACAATCATTAAGTTTATCGTGAATCTTGATAAATAACTGGAATTCACTGTTAATCTAATAATTTTAAATAATTATGTAAATAAATTAGATCAATAAATTAGATAGACAAACACATATAGAAGAACCTCAAGGGGTGTCTCTGTAAATTGTAATCCCGAAGGGATCCATCTGATTTAATAACAAACTTTAGGAGTTCTCGATATGATATTTCCAAACTAGATTAAGACCCATGAGTATGTATATATACATTCTCTGCACTCTGTCTGCACAAGCCAAAACAAGAATTTCCAGTCTTCTCTCTCTCTCTCTCTCTCTCTCTCTCTCTCTCTCTCTCGTTTAGTACAGTGCAAATCAATTCTTCTTCGAACATCATCCAATGGGAAAGGGATCTAAGAATAAGAGAAACGGGAGAAAACCTCATTCACACTCCAAACCACCGGCGGCGGCCAAGAGCTCTACCGCCAGCGGCGGAGAACCGCCGAATGCCAGTTCTTCCGACAATCTCCTTCAAGAACATAGTAATGCCGAACAACTCGAGAATGCCTTGAACAATGATGAACTTGAGCGCTCGCTTGCCATGCTTGCCGTTCTTGACCGAGGAAAACGAATCGAAGCACTGAAACTCAACAAAGACGCGTGTGATCGACACGAAAACTCCAGCCTCGACCACACTCAAGCCTCTATACACGCTAGAGTCGCTGCTCAAATCGAAGGCAGAGCCGTGTATCAAGAACCTATGAAAAATGCTCAGGAGTCTCCGAAGAAAGCCGCCTCGCTCTCGAGCGACTCGATTGAATTCGCGTGTAAACAAGCGAGTTCGTCGAGCAATGTTCAAGTTTGCGAAGAAGTTGTGAAAGAATGTGAGCGAGCTTTATCGATGTTGAGTTTTCTGCCTGTTCAGAAAAGTTCAGAACAAGGTTTGAAATCTGTAGATAAAGAATTGAATTCGATTTTAAATAAAGCAAAGATTGGGAAGAATAATGTTGGAATTGGTGAGAAGAAGTCTGGATGTACAAAGGATCCAATCTCAACCCAAATTAAGAAGGCTGACAAGAAAGACAATCTTGAAGAAAAGAAGAGGAATGCTAATGTGAAGAAGACGATCAGATCGGAGACAAGAAAGCTTTTTCGGAAGTTTTGGAACTCTATTAGTGTTGAGGAACAAAGAGAGATTCTTACACTAAGAATCAATGATGTTAAGGTGTATTGTGATGAGTTTAAGGGTGTTTTGGGGGCCGAGGATTTGCTGAGCGCTCTTGGTTATGGTGAGGTAAACCATACGTGGAACTACTGGGAGTGTTGCGTTTGTGAGCAGAGGCACCTGAATGGCGACTCACTTATTCATCATCTGATGCAGATGCATTTGAAGGCCCGATCAGCAAGTTTGACTGCAATTCTGCCTCGAAAAATTGATGATCCTATAGTGCAGATGCTAGAGAATTGTTCGTGGAAGCCTGTGGATGCTGTTGAGGCAGTGAGAATTATTGAAAATGAGTCAAAGGACCCAGATGATCAGAATTGGCCGTTATCGGATGATTCTGAGCGCGCAAAGATCCTTGAAAGAATCCACATCATGTTCCAGGTGCTTCTGCTACAAGATTGTATTGCTCTGAGCCATTTTAGGATGGTGATGCTCACGGCCGAGAAAATGCTAGAGAATAATACTGTGCTTTCCCCATCTCAAATTCGGACCCATTGCCTGGACCAAAAACCCGTATGCATCTGCTTTTTGGGGGCTTCTCAGCTGGATAGGATTCTCGATCTCTTGCGGGATCTGCATTCTGAGGCATGTTGTTTCATGGAAGATGAAATTGATGTCAATCAGGAAGATGAAAAGGTTGTTTTCTGTGGTGACACATTGCGTCTCTCTTTAGATCAGAGATTATGCTGTGGGGAGCTTACGCCCTCCCTATATCCTAAGGTCGCCACGAATGGTGCTTCTGCAACAACTTTTGCGGTTAGTGGTCATGAAGCTGATGTTCTTTCAGATGGGGATGATTTTGTAAAATGGTTGTTTGAGGGCTGTACAATTGAAGAAGAGCTAGCATCATGGCAACGCCTAAAAGATGATAAAGATAGGAAAGGGATGGAAATTTATCTTATCCTCAAGAAGGAATTTGTTACATTGAAAAACACATGTAGGAGAAGATTTGAGTATTTAATCCAAGTCAAAGCAATACGCGCAATAAGAGCTATCTGTGCTGAAGAACGTAAAAGAAGGGAGCAAGGTGCAAGTTATATGCCACAAAGTTTTGTGTCTCTCTTGAAAAAGAGACAAAAAGAACTTGTTGAAAGGGGAGGTGATAGTGGTAGAGCTGAGTTGTATGTCATCAGCAAAGTTCTTGAAGATGAAGTAGCTCCAGCTGCCAGCATAGATGAGGCTCGAGCTGCCAACATAGACGAGGTTGGATCAGGAAAAACTAACTCTTGCCACTTCTTGTTTTTTGTGATTTTCAATGTCATGAAATAATGAATGCAAAAATGCAGGATGGCGAGCATCTAGGAGACAATAGCATAACAGCAGAGATTCGTGAGCAATGGAAGGAGAGTTCAGAAGAGGTGGGCATGTTGCTCCAATGATATAATCGTGCCATGTAGTTTTAGAATCTGTCAACGGTATTTTAATGCTTTTCAGTCTGTACAATGTGAATCTTCACCCAGTACCTTGTGGAATTCTACATTAATTTGCCAAGGTCAAGTGGATAGAGGACGATTTTTTTTTCTATTTTTTGTTTCTTTAACAACTTATTTTCAAGATATGTTCCGGGAGTCTAATTAAATTCTGTCTTGCAGGTTTTTAAAATTGATGCCAGGATCATGTGGAGTATAAATAGTATACGACGGCTGAATTTGCAGCTTGCACAAGTATCAGTTCATGACTACCAGTTGATTATAGTTCCCCTTCTGAAGTCATTCTTGCAGGTCTGAATTCCATACAGTTAAATATTTTCTCTAAATTTCCATCATTTGTCAACCCTAAAACTTTGATGTTCTCTGACGAGAGCTCTCTTTTCCAGGTACAATTGCAGGATTTGTTTTGCGAAGCTTTGTTAGAAAAGCTTGAATCTGATACCAGCAAGAATTTTTGCGAGGGATGCAATCAGATGAAACATATGCAAGGAAAATTGAAGGATAAGAAAAGGAAAAAGAAAATCAAAATGCTAAGGATTCCAAGGTCTTAATGTTGCCAAGTCTGGTTGATTCATCTATTTACCGTTTCCCAGTGTTAGCTGTTTTTCCTTGTTGGTGAGAAGAGAGTTTTATGCTTTCATAGCATTGCAGGCTACTGATGGTAAACCAAAACACATGTTAGAAGAGAAGGATGCAGAACAAGCGTAAGCCCTTTTATAGCTCTCACTAGCAGGCAGCAGCCAAAAAATTGGTTATAAAAGATCATGTCCTTTTCTCCCGTCTATTCCTAGGCCTCTTTTGAGATTAACGCAATTTTGGCTTTTGCTTTTCCAGTCGCTTTACTGTCCCCTATAGTCGGCATCTCTCAGAGTCCCAGATTGCTGTTTCTTCAAGTGCTGCTCAACTGAAACAGCAGGAAGTGGAACTTGGTCGTAAAATTGAGCTTGAAGCAGAGGAAAGACTGCTCGAGAAGAATTCGGAGCGTCAAAGACAAATTGAGGATGAGGCTAAAAGGAAGCAACTCGCTAAGCAAAACAAAAAAGCTGATGCAAGAACAACACCAGTGGTAGCGGAGAGATTGTTGAGTGCAACTCAAATGCCAACATATTTTCCAGGTGTTCCTGTGGACAAATCTGAGGGAACTAAGGAGTCCTCCCCCGTTTCTGGTAAAAGGCCTGAATGGAAACTACGTTTCTCTCATGGAAAAGTCAAACAAGGTGAGCAACCCTTCAGGAACTAGGACTTCCTCCTTGCACCGAGCTTGCATGTCAGGCATTCATTGACACACCACCTTTTTTTTGGATGCTGGACACCTTAAAGTAGGCATAATTATTGTCCATCTTATTATCTTTTTCCTGGGTAAATATGGTCAATCTTATCATAATGTTTACTGGTTTACTCTCTGTATTTTCTTCCGTATAAGCACAACTCTTAACCTTGTACAAAGCTCGTTAGTGTTGTTTCACATATACTCAGATATATAGCCATTTCTACTTTTGGGAAGTCACTTGATCTTTGCATTCTTTTTTCATGTGAAAAGACAACCCTGTTGTCTGTGTTCACTACTATCATGTAGATCAAGGATTTGCTAGATAATTTATTGAGCAGAAACACAATTTGTTCACATTGTAGGCTTTGATCTGGAAAATGTGCTCCTAAGTTATGTCTTCTATTGTGCAGCTTTGCATTCTAAAGAAACTCCTGAAGGTGTTTCACGATCTTACAGTCAACACTGGAAGGCAATGTACATGGTTGGGCAGATCTAACAAATCACTTCACCCAATCCCAATACCACTATTTTTATTTTTATTTTTTGATAATCACATTCAGCAAAACCACCATAAATCATAGCCTAACTCTACACACACTATAGGAAGCACCACCTGAATAGAAAATATAATACTCAGTTTAAGTATGAGTTAATGCTCCCTTGATATCTTTCTCTCTCTCTTTATGCAGAAAAAATCATACGCCCAATGATATACTTAAGCCTGTGCACTAAAGCTCCTCGCATTTAAAACCTTTCCTATCTGGCTTGCCATTGACTGATTTAATCCCATGATGCTGTGTATTCTTGCCTCCCAATATAGTGTAAACATAGCACTCTTTTAGCTTATCTACATGGTATCCAATGAGCGAGGAATAAACCTACACACACCATATAAAGAGAGCAGCAAATCCAACGTCCTCCTAGCTACCACACAGTGCAAGGGCAACTGATTGAACACCCTCTCCACCGCTTTGCGCACTGGTTTGTTTAGTGATGCCTTTTGCACCTAAGATTTTCAATAGTAAGAATAGCCTCCAAAGCCGCAGCCCATAAAAAAAAAAAAAAAAACACCCTTAAAACATCTTTGGTCTGCCAGTCGCCTTTCTAAGAAATGAACCTCAAGGTATTTCTTAAGATTATGTAATAGTATTTGAACAAAAAGATCTTAATCCGTGTGGATTTTCACCTCACAATTTCCTCTCCCTTCTTCCCAAATCTTAGCTCGTATATACCAACTCCCAACTCTTGATCATGGAAAATTATCCCACCTGTTGTTCTACTCTACCATCCTCTTGGATGACTTATTTTAGCTTGTGTTTGTGATAAAGATCTCTCTGTCAACCACCAACTTATCAGGTCAGGGGAATCCTCCTTCAGAGGAGAATACAGACACAAAGCAGCTTGCCCAAAGTTAATTCTATTATCATTTCCCAGATGATGTCAGAGAATCCTCGCCTTCTTCTCCATATGGTCTTCCATACGTCCACCCCATGCAAGGATCTGACATCTTCAGTAGTTTGTTCTGACAACCATTGCCATATTTCTCATCAATAAATTTACACCAAGGACTTTCCTGCTCCATCCATACCTCCTTAGTCATGTTCTTAGATTACTGGATACCGCCAACACCTCAACTGGGGAGCATGCCACTTACTCCACTTACTGATATTTGAATTCCTTCATAGCCTTCCACTAGAAAGCCTTTCTGAAGTTTCCTCAGCATTTTCTTGACCGACGCCAAAAAATAGTGGACAGAAACATAAAGCAGATAGTAAAAATTCCCAAAGTTGTTTTTACTGGGTTAAATCTTTCCCTTTTGAAAGGTTGCGTCTCAACCACCTTGCCAGCCTCATTTATGACCTTTTTGAAGAGAGTCATAATCTATTTCTCTGCCGTGAACAATCCCAGCCATCTGCAAACGGGATAGCTCGCCATTTTTTTTTTTTTGGGGGGGGGGGGTTTTTGCTGCAATTGAATTTAGGACTAGAGACTGCCTCAAAATGAAGCAAGAAACATATGAGATTGATGAATTACTGACCCTAGGCATTACTTGTATGATCTGTCGGAAACTATATGACAAACCTCCTTGGATTTACTCCAGTAATCCTCATCACATATCACCTAATCATCGCCCTTCCGCAATCCTCACCACCATCCTACTTTGGGCCCCCATGTAAGGGCTGCACCAACATGCGAGCTTGGATCAGCATAATGTTCATGACAGCCACAGTAAGTATTGTATGTGTTTAGAATTTTTTTTGCTGCTATTTATATTTCTTTAATACTTTAAAAGTGCTTATTATTTATGAAATTTGGAATAATTATTCATGTAGGCATTTCATTTGTCATCAATATTTATTTTTGATTGAAATTTCACAAGTAATGACAATACTGGAAAAGTATCTTCTCTATGCAAATTATGTACTCTAAATACTTTGAAGCTGCTAACTGATTTTGAGACTTGATTTTATGAGTCAATTCTGCAATTAAGTGTACATGTATATGCCTATGCTAGAAACCCGTTCTATCTCATAATGACCTGCTTTAGTTTAGACTCTTGTCTCGAGTCCCCTTTTCTATTTTGGATGCGGCATGCTTGGTTTGTCTTTCTTCCTTTAAGATGTTATCTCTTCAATAAGCACCATGCATAAGGGCCATTTGTTCAATGTCTTGCTGTCTTTTGTATTTGCTTTCTTTTGTGCATAAGTTGATTGGATGAGGATTGTCTCTCTTTGTTGTGCAACTTTTACTGCAAACTGGAAAGGAACAAATATACATGTTTGTTGGGACAGGTTCTGAGTTCCAGAGATTGTTTGAACTTTGGTTTTGAGGAAAAAGAATTTTTTTTTTATCATCATCACCACTACCACCGTCACCATTTCCAGTAATTTCATCCTATTAACTCATGGTAACTATTCTTGACCCGCAAATGCAAATATTTTCATAAGAAAAAAAGATTATATAGTTTTCCTTGCAGCTATTATAACTATTATGGATTGAAGATTTCTCAGTGGGATATGTCATATATGGTACTTGAAACAGAAAGTGTATCATGAAGACAAAAATTTGGAAGGGTTTTTGATGTGAGACCTGACATCAGGTAGTGTTTCCCTTTTTGTTTCTCCATTGTGGCAAAGCAGGAGCTGCTAGTTGAAATTATGTTGTTTTGAAGGGAGAAGAAATAAATGCATGGTGCGATGTTGAGAGTTGCCAGAGTGATTTATTTGCTCAAGCAGGGTGTTTGCTGTTGTACTCCCAAAAAGTGGCTTTCTTTTTCAGATTGGCAGTTGAACGTATAGGTTCCATGAAATCATACTCAATAATTGTTATGCATGCAAGCTGACACAGAATGTGCAGATCACCTTCCTCTTCATTTGCATTGGTTTGGCAGCTCTAGGTTTTTTGTCTTTTTTTTTTCTCCTCTTTGCTTGATATTAGTTGGGTTATGCCAAATTTGGTACGTTGACTTTCCTTCAAAGTAAATCATTGTTAAAAAATGGGGGAGTAGTGACATGATCCAGAAGGTGGCACTATGTCCCATTTGGTGTGTCAAGTAGCAGCATGCTAAGAGAAAATTTCAGGATGATGGAGGATTGATTATTGGGGTTGTCATTTCTTGGTTGGTATGTTTTAGAAGGATTGTGATAGTGAAATAACTTCGAAGTTGAGAAATCCCTAATCGTTAGAGTGAAGCACTTTCCTTAGAATCCACTGCATTTGGTGCTCTTATGTGTTCTGTTTTAGACAGTAAATTGTAAAAATAAAATAAAGTGAAAAATCGTTTTTAGGAGTTTTTAGCTACTTTTTTCAAATCTCTAATACCTTTTTAGGAGGTTGGATATTGCTATCAGGCTTTGACTAAAACACATTCATTGGAGAAAAAGAAATCGCATGCTTCTGGCTCACATCCCAGCAGATAGTCCTATGATTGAGTCCATCTTTTGTTTCCTCATTTTCAAATCCAATTAAGTGTTCTATAAAGTCCATTGCCGTTAGAATAAAATTCCTGCAGGATCAGTAAGTCTTTACTTTGCTTGGAACCATTCTAGCTGTGCATCTATTAAAAATTTAAAATTGATGTTGCAACTTGATCAATTAAAACTTATAAGCTCCCATGCCATGTTATATATATTCCTTTCTTGGCTCTGCATCAAATGAAGCATGTCACATTAGTTATTGTATTTGTTCTCGGTCCGGCTGCATATCAATTTTAACTTTTCATGCTCTAGCTTAATACTTCTTTAATTTGCAAATAGCTGAAGAGAGTTAAAAAAAATGACATTCCATTTAAATGAATTGTATAAACTATAAAGTGGTTGGGGGAAAACTGCATGGAAGAGAATGCCAGATTTTCAGTACCAAAATTCCAAAAGCAGTATGCAGCAGACTGCTTCAAAATCGACGAACAAAGAAGCATGAACCTCACATGAAGTCCTCAGTAGAGAGAGATCTCAGACTAATTAACAATGTGCTCCTGTCTCATCTTTCAGATAACATCGAAAAGATAGGTGGATCAAGTATGTTCTTTGGGATTGGGATGAGAAATTGTATTGGTGAAAACAATTGCTTTATCAATGCAACTATACAGGTTGGTATTCAAAGAACACATATGTCTTGAATGTTAACCTTTTCCTTTCAACGCTGTACTTTCCACTGTCTCTGAAAACTGCAGTCCCTCTGGCATTTAAGACGGTTCCGAGATGAGCTTTTAAGTCCATCAGAACATGTGCATGTTGGAGATCCTTGTGTTGTATGTGCTGTACACCAGCTCTTTAAGGCCCTAAGCATGGCAAATACAGATGGACAAAGAGAACCTGTTTCTCCAACCTCTTTAAGAATCGCTCTTAGCATTTTGTACCCTGCTAATGTTTCCTTCTGCCAGGTATGATCACAGGAATTTGTTGGTTTTGTTCCTTTGTCTTTCTGGTTTTGCCAATATGACCTTGTCTCTGTTCTTTTGCAGGGACGAGAGGGTGAAGCTTATGAAGTGTTGGAAAATATATTGTTCTGTCTTCATGATTCATTTATCCATAGGCCGGGAGTTTCTGATGTCAAATTACTAGAGAAAAAAGGCATTGGCTCTTTGCATTTCACAAGCAAGACTTGCGTAGCACATACCTTTTTCGGATTGGACGACAGTTGTGGCCTTCAGTCGGCACGGCAGAATAAGAATTCTTATTTTCGTTTCATAGCTGCTAATGAACTCGGCAAGGCAAAGGTTTGCTACATGTGAATGATGTCATGGCAAAATTTGCTGAGTTCTGTTAATACAACAAGAAACTTCCATAAGCAAAGTATTTATGGTTTCTGTGTTAGATATAACTGTTAAAGGGTGATTTCTTTCCTTCCCAACTCAGATTATGCATGCACGTTGCTCTCTTGATGAACCCTTGAAGCTTCTCAAAGTGGATGAGAATATTCAATTAGTCTGCATTGATGATGTTGGTGGGGGAAGAAAACTCATTCGTATCAATGGTGTTCAGTCAACTCCGCATGTATTCGCTTTAGGTGAGTCCCACATTGTCAGAAAATCTGTCATTCTGGTATTGGCTAGCTTAGTTGTTTCTGTCTTGGCATTTGCAGTTATTGGTTGGGAGACTGCCGATGACATGTTAGCAACATGGACTGCTCTTAGTACTGAGGTAGAGATTGGCTTTTTGGATAAGAGAAACAGATATCGCCTTGTTTCAGTGGTGAGTCAAATTATTCTTTTGTCTTTCCTGGCATTTGGTTACATTAAGAATCATATATTTTGTGTCTTGCTTCCACTTATTCTGGATTGTATTTGCCCCTTCCTCTACCCCGCCAACAAAAACAAGAAAAGAAAAGAAAAGGGTTATGAAACTCTGCTGTCTAAATTACTTGGCACGCACAAAGAAATCAGATACCTGTAGTGAAGTGAACACATAGATGGTGTGTGCAGACATTTGGGCTGCCTACCTGGCAGTTGTCCAAATTACTCTATGATCAAACTATTGACGGAGACTTAACAATATTGTTGTCTGGAGGGTAGGGTGTGGGAATCACATTAAGAAAGGATCTAGAAAGGGGCTCCCTCTCCAAGTTTATCCTCTTAACTATAAGCCTCTGCTTCATGGCTCCAACCATCCAAACAAGTACAATTCCTCTCCCTCCAATCGTGGCAAATGAGGCAATGGGCGGCAGCTCTGGACACCATGACCTTACTCCTGCCAAACTGTTAACTCCTGCATTACAAGTGCTCTTGACTTGAATTTTTTTTTTTTAATTTTCTGAAAGAAATTTCTTATACATTTTCTTCTGCAGCCAAATCTGTTTTTTTTACCGGTTTTATGCCATTATGGCTATGCAAAATAAATTGTGTTACAAGTCCAGTATAGTTCTTTCCTAAAAGCTCTCCTGTTATTTTTAGGTTTGCTATTGTCAGCATCACTTTTACTGCCTTGCTTACAACCATGAGCATGAAAGATGGATCATGTTTGAGGACGAGAATGTGCAGGTACATTCATTTTGTTTTTGAGATCACATATCTATAATTTTATTTTTTAGTTTTCTCTGCATAATATATTTGATTCCAATAGGATATTGGGAGTTGGGATGATCTTCTTTCCACATGTGAAAACGAGCTATTACTACCTGAGATCCTTCTCTTTGAAGCTGTAGATTAGATTTTTTCCAGATATGTCATTAAAGTTGCACTGCAAATGGCATTTTTTTTTTCCATAAAGCCAACTATGAGGAGGAGGAGGAGGAAGAGGAAGCAAGCAATTCTGATCACAACAGAGGTTCTTCCCCCATTCTTTTTTGGGTTCCTGAATTGTTGGCAATGTTTCCTGTGGAGGGAGAAGTTTATTTTGCTCATTCTCTAATGGCAACAATACTGCAGTCATTTTAGGGAGCAAAATGTAAGGTTGTGTCCTGTTCAATTTTTTTTTTTTTTTTTTGTGGGTAAATTTTACTTGCAATATGTCATGATACATATTTTGTGACTATATCTTGGCCTACATAGAATGGATCTCCATCTTTCCTGTGTATATTCATGTATATGACAATTGATCGCTTTTTTTTTTTTTTTTTTGGTCAGGAAAATTGATAGTTGTAGCATTCAAAAGAAAGTTAAAGATCTTGATAATAGTTAATGGAATGAAGGAGACCCAAAAGTTTACTTAGACCCAAGACAACCACCCTGGCAAACACAAGCATTATAACGCCCAGACCATGAAGAAAAAGAGTGTCATCGCGCAAGCTCTTCAAGAGTTAATTCAATCAGTATTAAAGGTGCACTTTTGTTGTGTATGAATATTTCCTGAAAACGCAAATAACACAATATATATGTCGAAGTATATAAGGTCATCAATAATATTCAGTTTTAAAAAAGTCATACATTACAACTAAATTTTTCTATTTTTCTTTCTAAAATTTATGTATTTTTGTAGTTCCATTTTAAGTAAGTTGATTGAGCCTGATATGGCTTGAGCATTGGAATCAAGGAGCCACTTAAGTGGAGAGACATGACTTGGTTGGTGGATCCGACAAGGTTTCTGCCTATGAACACTGTGGGCACGGACAGGTTGAAACAACAACAAAAAACACGATAAAATTTCTAATCGAAATAGTTAATTAACATAACCAAAAAAAAAAAAAAAGAAATTGTACGAGTCATCCAATAAGAAGTCTCTTGTTTTCAGAAATCAATCAGAAGATTACATTCACAAAGTCCCCTGAAAATTACAACACTCATTTGAGAAGTTCTTCTGACATATTACTGTTGGATAACAGCAATTTCCCTGAATACTCTGCAATAACTACAAAACCCCAGCACAGCTCCTGCCCATAAATATTTGTTTCCCTAGCAATTGGAGAAGTGAAACACAACCGCTACTGCTTAGATCTTCTCTGTATAGGCGACAGTTTGGACTTTGTAGATGAAATAAATGTATGCAGGTGAGTATGCCTTGTTCACGTTGAAGGGGGAGTCTCGGGCACAAAATCTCCTGCCACTGATAAAATGCATAAACAATTAAAGGATGAAAAATCAGCTTGACAACAGACGAATGAAATATGCAGTAGCAATGCGGTGACAAGGGAAGAAAGACTATCCGATCCTATATCATCCAGAAAATGTAACTATCTTTTGGACTATGCAGTAATGTCACATTGATAGAGTCAAGAAACCTCAATCCTGATTTATTAACACCAAGTGCAAAGGCAAAGAGAACATTGGTGAAAAATAGAAAGCATAAAATTCGTATCATAAGGGGAAAATGATGAGAGCAAATAATCTGACTATGTCGTTGTTTGACAGAAATAGCATCTGTCATTGAACCCTCAGTTTAGAAGTAGGAGCCACAAGAAGAGTTACGAAGGTGTCCACAACAGTAAATCTGAAATCCCAAAACTACTATCCAGTTGGGTACAATACAATCTCAAACAAAACATCCTCCCAAGTATTTAACTGCCACTCAGGTGAATTCAGTTTCATGGCCCTGCAGCTAACAATCTGATTTATTTAGCCCTACCACATCCTTAAGTGTGTGCCCTGGTGAGCCATTCGTACAGAAATTTTCTACTACAGCAACAATACCACTTTTTGAGCCATTAAAGTTTACAAAGGACTATCACAGAGCCGCCTCATCTTTCTTGTTTCGGGGGAAGCTTCTAGCACTAGGAACATGCATTCCAGTATGGCAACAATACTACTTTTTAGTTTTAAGTACCCGTTCACTTGATTAAACTCCGAAGCATCTCAAAATTAAGAGGTAATTGTAAATTATAACTTGAAAGATCGTTCGAATCTTAATTTACACCCTCAAAGATCAAAAATCTCAATTTGCACCCTCAAAGATATAAATTTGTATCAATGTGCACCCCCAAAAGATCAAAAATCTCAATTTTCACCCTCAAAAAAAGAAATTTGTATCAATGTGTACCTCTAAAGATAAAAAATCTCAATTTGCACCCTCAAAAATAGAATTTTGTATCAATGTGCACTTAAAACTAAATTGATAAATTATACCTAAATTCCCTTATGTTTGTCACTTAATCATTTGGACCCCTTAATATTTAGAATATTACTCCTACATCTCATGACGTTTGTCCACGTATAACATGTAACCTCTTTTCGTTGATATCTGTTAATATAACCGTTAAAAAATATGATTTTATCCTAATAAAAAATTATATTTTCATATTACCCTTTATTTTTTGGGTCTAATATATTTTAAAGTTAAAAATCAAACTTACCATTTGAATGTCTAATAGAATAAAAGGTTGCACATTGAGTGATATATTGCATTGGATATAAAAAATATTATATAAACATCTACATTCTATTGGATATTCAAATAGTAAACTTGATTTTAAACTTTAGAGTATATTGAACCCATAAAATAAAAAAGTAATATAAAATTATAACTTTCTATTAAGATAAAATCATATTTTTTAACGGTTATATTAACATATATCAACGAAAAGGAGTTACGTGTTGCATGTGCACAAACGCCATAAGATGTAAGAGTAATATTCTAATTGTAAAAGGGTTCAAATGATTAAATGACAAACATGAGGGAATCTAAATATAATTTATTAATTTAGTTTCAGGTGTACATTGATAAAAATTTATATCTTTAAGGATGCAAATTGAGATTTTTTATCTATGGGGGTGCACATTGATACAAATTTTTATCTTTGAGGGTGCAAATTGAGATTTTTAATCTTTAGAGGTCTAAATTGAGATTCGAACTATCTTTCGGGGTGCCCCAAAATTAATGCATCGAGAGCATCTGTATAAATTCAACTCATCTCAACTACATGGGTTCTCTCCTATGTAAATCATATTCCATAGGTGTTTTTTAAAAGACCATAGATTCTGTTGAATAGCAAACTAACATATCTTTTTTACTATAGAATTGAAAGTTAATAAAAATTCAAACAATCAAATAGGTGAGACATGTAAATACAGTAAATATCAATGAATTAACAATCCAAACACTAACCTTTGGACGTTGAGGGAACTACAACAATATTCATAGTTGCATTGTTGGGGGGAAGAGCTAGCCGAAGAGGGTAAAGCTTCCCATTCAATGGATTGCGGGAACACACAATTATGTTCTCCAGCCCCGTCTCTTCCTCCAATTTCTCAGTCAATTCCTCTAAACCATGCCCTTTAAAATTGAACGAAGGCCCTTCAATGGCATCATCAATACCTCCATTGTCATCCACCACATTGTAGTGTATAAGACGACCTTCAGACTTGACAGATGAACCATCAAACGAATCACTTGACTGCATATAAAATCAACCAACAAAAACCCATTAATAATTTCAATACTTTAGTAATCATAGCTATTCCGAAAGTGGATTTTAATCTATCATATGAAATCAAACCAAACAAAACAAACCTCAAGTTTGGACAAAATGGGTGACCTAAGATGAAAAGAAGAAGAACCCAGATCAGAATCAATAGACTCGGATCGTGAAACTTTTTTGGGTGATTCTGGACGTTGTTCAACAACATCAACTTCCCATAAAATCCAATCGTGATGCCTATGAGGTATATCATTTGTAATTGAATTTCTCCAAGGGGGTAACCCACCATTTGCACGCAAATAATTACCATATCTCGTTTTGAGCTTCACTTTGAACCCATCTCTAATTGGCTCCCATTCAACTGATGAATCCAATTTTCTCGGAGTTGTTTGAAGAACTTTTCGACCCGTCACGCCCAGAAGGACTTGTTCTTCCGTGGCGGTAAGGTATTTTCCATAACAACTTCTCAAGCGAATGACATTTTCGATGCCTTCAACAAACTCAACTGTCCACTTCGCGTTCTTAATCGTGCCAGAACGATCTTGGTACACGGATTCTTGGTCTTCCTCGGCTAGTAAGTACTTGTCATGGTGGCTTCGGAGCCTGATCGATTTTGCTTTTTGGAAGTATTCCATTGCAGAACTCTGAAATCAATCAATGGAATTACCAAACGTTGCGAGAAACCAATTGTATATACACGAGATAAGCAGAAAATGGATCAAAACCACCACTATAATACGTATATACATAGAGATCTGGAGGGGATATCTATGACCATTTGATGAGTAAATTGGTAAGATCTGCAAATGGGTCTGAGTTGGTGAAATGCTCTGCAAATGTGTCTGTGCATACACGTAAATAAATTTAAAATGTATTTTTTTATAAAATATTTGAATTATATGTTTAATTAAATTAAATAATAAATTATCGAATAATTAATTCGTATTTAAATTATTACTAAATTTAGTTATTAATCTAGTTTTTGAGTACTTAATTTATTATTTATTTAAGTATCTCTGATTTTTTTGTATCTAATTATATTATAAAATTATTAATTTTTATTTTTTAAATAAATTAATTAGTTTGTTTATAATATTATTATATAACTGAGTACCAAAAAATAAAATTTATAATATAAAATACAGTGAGTTTCACAATTCATCTCATTTAACAGCTACCACAATCTTTCTCCATTTCCCCCTCCAAATTCAACATTTTTTTACTCACAACTTTTTTCAAAAATTCACCCACTCAGTCCCTTCACCGGTCAGACAAGTCATATTCTGCGCTTTCCTGCATCCTTTTTTTTTTTTTCCTGACTTTTTTAAAAAATCTATCCACCCAGTCCGTTCAGCTGTGAAAGAAGCCACCTTCCTGCATCTTCTCTTTTTTTTTTTCTGTCAGACTAGCCTTCCCTGCATCTCCTTTTCTTCCTTTTTTTTTTTTCCCACCCTTTGTTACTACTTACCCCCCCCCCCCCCCCTCTCTCTCTCTCTCTCTGTTATGCTCCAGCGACACCGCCACTTCGCCAGCAATACCACCGCCGCCGCTGCTAACCCCTCCCAGGTATGCCTTTTCTCTCTCTCTCTCTCTCTCTCTCACACACACACACTAACACACAAACAAAGACCCACACCCACACCCACACCCACACTTGGTGAATGCTTGATGTATTCGGTAAACACCCACACCCACACCCACGGAGTTTGTCTATAATTCGGCCTAATCATTTTCAGTAGGCCTAATCTTTCCTTACAAATGTGCAGTCCCCGTCTCTTTGAGAATATCCCTGGATGATTCTTGAAATCAGGACCTCCACCCTTATGAAGTCTGAATCATATATAAATGGTTTGGGTTCACGCATATAAGTTATTTATTTGTACTTTTTTAAGGTATCTGAAACTTGACAATTTTGTGCAAATTATTAATCTTGGGTTGAAATTTTCGGCTGCTGCTAGAGAAATGGTTGGTGCTTGAAATGGGTTCCAATTTGGGTTTTTGGATCGAGTGTAGTGTTGAGGTTCCTGGGTTTCTGGTTGTGGAAAAGTTGAAAAAAATTGCTTTATGGGGGTTAGTGTTTGGATGCGATTTGCGAGGACCTGAAGTGAAGTTTTGCTATTTTGGAAAATAATGAAAAGCTTTTGGGTGGTGCATATTCTGTAAAATCATTGCTGAATTTCCGAATTTTAACGAATTCTGTTAATGTTAACCACATTAACAGAAAGATTGAAGCTTTGATACAATTTTTTTTGAAAGTTCACCTAATTTAGATTACTTACTTTTGGTCCAATTCAAGTTGGGGTGACTGTTGTTTGAATTGGGCTGAATAATAGAAGCAACAGTTTTTTTCCCTTTGTGGTACGTGTTGGATGTTGCTGAATTTTAGACTTAATGCCCAATCTAGCTGTTGATGAGGGTGGCAAATTTAGAAATTGATACTACCTGGTGAATATAATTCAAAACCACTTTGAATCAGGACAAAAGAATAGATGATGGAGATAGAAGGAATAATGAGAATATTGATAAGTATAGTTTAATGTTCCATTCCTTCATAGTATAGTTTAATGTTGATTTGAAATATTATATTGTTTCCTTAATTTAGACTAAAGAAAGGGTTTTTTCATCCTTTTATTTTTTTTGGTTGAGGTTGCTTTTGACAGGGAAACACTTAGTTAATGCTTGTAATAGATCTATTTGAAAATCTATTTTATTAAGATTCCCTGTTTTACTCAATTTTTAGAGCTTTAAACCATAGTGTTTGAAGATAAAGATTTATTACTATGTTAATGTGGATAACTACATCCATATATTTCTTGCCAATGCAACTTATGGTGGATGAATTGTGTACAGCAGGCAGTATTCTTGATAGGGCTATTGAAGCAGAGGACAGGAAGCATGGAGACTTTCTGAGGCTGGTATTGTCATTGTATCATGTGTCTCTTTCACTTTTTTGTTATCTGCATTGGACAAAAATTAATCATGCCCACCTCCCACCATGGGGAAGGGGGAGTATGCCCACTCCTATGCCCACCTGCATAGGTGAAATGGATGCTTACTCCTAATATATGTTATTCTGGGAAGCAAACCTACTGAACCTTATGTAAATGTGATGCGTGCAGGAACACATTGAGGGGTACCTTGAACTGTCGGCCAAGACGAAGTCTTTTTTTACTACAGTTGTTGCTTTGTGGGATGCGGATTTCTATGTTAAATATAGGTATAGATGCCAATATTTTTCTGTTGCATTTTCTCATTTTATTTTCCAAATAACTATATTTGTTTCGTTATTTCGTGGGAGATATTATGAGATCATGATTTTGAAGCTGGAAATTACTGTAATAGCTTGCTCTTGTGGAAGACCTGAGATTCCAGTTTTTTTCTTTTTTCATTACAACACTAAAGATCTTTGAGTGTAGACAACCATGAGGTCTACAACTGTGGCTAACTGCCTAGCCACTGAATGTGATACATAGCAGAATATTCATCTGTAGTTTGTAAACAGCATGCGTTTAGCTATATTATTCTCAACGTATCATTTAATTCACTGTACTTTAGTATATTAGTAGTGCATCTACCCATCAATGGCCCTTGGGAAATTCTACTCTTGTGGTTGTTTCCTCATATTTCACTGCAGTAACACTAACTTATGTTTCTGATGAGTCTCTCCCATCATGGCCCAATGATTTTGGATTGGATGCCCTTAAACATGAAATCAAAGCGATGTAGTTCGTGTGGCGAGAATTTTGGCATTCGATACAAACAAAGCTGACGAAATGTCATTTTAATATTGTATCATTATGCCAATGCTTAGAACATGCTGATTTATTTACTTTCTAAATTTTATGTTGGTTCTATGTAAATTCAAGTCATTAAAACTTTAGAGAATGATTTTCTTTTTTCCTAATTTTTGGTTTTAGTATAATTCCAGTCATTAAAACTTTCGTTATTGTACTAAGAGTTACTATTCAAGTCGAGTGAAATTAGTATTTATTTAGGTAAGAATATGACTTAATGAGGTCATTTGTACTAAAAGTTACTATTCAACTCGAGTGAAATTAGTATTTATTTAGGTGAGAATATGACTTAATGGGGTCATTTGGGATTGATCCCAGTTTTTTATAGTCATAAATCAACTCCGATAGAGTCGTATTTACCATTCCCTTAATAATATCTCTCTCAAACAATGTACAATATTGTAAGCTATGAACAGTCATTGTACAAAGGTTGCACTCTATAACTGGCAACATTCACTTGTTAGTCCTCCATCACATTACACATTTGCAAACTTCACTACTAAAAAAAACCCAACATGGTATGATGATAAATTTTCAATGATTATATGTTTGTTTTTTGAATTTGTGAGCATTTGTGTTCAATGATTAAATTTTTTGTTTTTTTTAGTACATGGTTTAGTTGAAGGAGTATCTATGATATTTGTTCCCAATTTTTTGTAGTTATTTGTCTACAAATAAAATTTTTCTTTTCGTTAATGATGTGTTGAGGAATCAGTTATCCTTTATCTCCTTTTTTTTTTATGTGTTCCTCCCTCTTTCACTCCTCTCTCTTTGTCTTTCTCCCTTTCTCTCTCTGTTAGGCCATCTCCAACAACTCCAACATCGCTAGCAACATAGCTATCACCATTGGTATATAAAATTTATTAAATGTGTATTTTTTTGGCATAAAGTTATCTTTTGTTTTTTGTGCTAGATGTTAAAAGTGTAGAAGTAGACAAAAAGGTTAAACTTTTATGTTGGTTTGTGCGAAAATGGTAAGCTTAAATATCCACCATAGTTTGTGTTAAATCTGTAAATTGTCTGCCATGGAACTAGCAGCACAGCCCAGGTACACCCCCTCTCTCTCTATCTCTCCCTCTCTCTGCCATCCCAGCAGCATAGCCTAACACATACAGTCGCAAAATCAACACACACACAACAGCAAACACACAGTGTAGCAGCATTCAAGTGGTATATGTTTGTGTTTAATTTGTGTGTTTTAAATTTGGCTTTTTTAATATTTGGGTATTTTTACGTTAGATGTTTTTACAATGGGTGTGTAATTTGTGTTCTCACTCTATCTCCCTCTTTCACGACAGACCTCACCCAAACACACACAAGTCTCACCCAAACATAGACACAACACCACACACACACACACGCAGACGAACACACAACAACACACACACACTACAACACTAAAAATACACACACAGATATTTGCATACAAACACACACACTACACAACAACACACAAAACACACAAATTTGTGTGTGATTTGTGTTTGGCCAAATGAATTTGGGTTAATTAGGGTTTTTGAATATTTGTGTTTAATTTGAGTGTTTTTAATTTGGATGCCTTTTAATTGGGTGTTTAATTGAATGTTTTTTTTTTTAGTTACGAATGTTAGGTTGTTTGTGCATATGTTGCGTTGAGAATTGGGTGCTGAATATAGTTTGTGAAATTTCAATTTGATTTTTTAGTATCTTGATTTGATGAATGTTATTTTGCATGAAATATCTTGATTTTATTAATGTTGATTAGTATGAAATAGGTTTTCATATGGTTTTCATTAATTATAGAGATTGTATGCCAATTAGTATGAAATAGTCTTATAACACACCGTCGAAATAGTCTTATAACAATTGCACAAAATAATTATGTTGAATCCAACTAATGATAAAATTAAGGGGTTTTATGTTTCGGATTTACAATTGTTTTATTTTGCCTCAAATATTTTGATAATTTTTATATTTCAAATATTTTCAAGTATACATGGAAGGATGTCAATATGAAGTTGAAGGTGTTTCTTTATTTGTGCATATGGTATTTTTTGTGTTCCGTCTTTTGTGAGTGAACTAATTGTACATGGTTATGATGATTTTTGGTATAAAATGATGGTTATTTTGGTGGTTGGATGTGTATTGATGCTTGTGGTGATATGATATATTATGATGATTGTGGTGATATGGTGGTTGAGTATGTATTGATGGTTCTAAGTTTATCCATGGTTGCCAAAATTTTGAGTTGGAGCAGAGCAATTAGAAAGAGGAAAAGAGAAGTGCTATATTTTCTCTTTTCTGACCTGCATTTTTTCGGTGTCCACTGGGGCTTGTGTGGTGAGAGTCTCGGCCATGGTGCCCTTGGAGCTTATAGAGCATAGGAAAGAGAAAATAAGTGGTCATTGCTTGTTAAACTGGTGGGTGTTCATTTGGGTGAGGTGAAAGGTTGTGATTTGAATAAACAGAAAATTAATGGGTTATTTTTGATGAATCATAAATGTCAACAATGCTATTAATTAAACAGAAAATAGCTTCATGGTTCATGCTTCCATCCATGTTCTTAGTGTGTTTCCATGTATATTTTGATGATGGTTTCAGCATGATCAATGGTGGCTGAAGTTTGGAATTTTGAGTTGCAGTATTCTTGATGCTTCACTCTTGCCTCTTTCTTTCCCATTCACGACCCAGCTGCTCACGGCTATTTTCCCGCCATGGTTCATGAGAGTCCACCAGTGACTGTTTCTGATTTTTGGATCATCTGTGATGGTGCCTTCAAGTCTGCTATAGCTAGGGCTGCATGCGGAATGGTGGTATGCAAGGAAAGGGGTGCGCTTGAATTGGGCATGCTAAATCCTTCCAGCAAGGTCTAGCATTTGCTATGATGCAAAGGCAGTGAGACAAGATTGCCTCCTTAGACATTAAGAAGGATAGTTACCACATTAATTTGATATTCCAACGAAACCTGTGGGTTTGTTCAAACAGAGATTTGTCAAATCTAAATATCAAAAACCTGTGGGTTTGTTCCATTGTGATTATGTACACAATCAAAGAAATAAAATATAAATATTAACCATTCATATTTGAAGGTTAGGTTTTGTTCCAACCTTAAATCTGATTTTTTGTAAGTTTAGGCATAATATTGATGAGTTATTTTTTATGGATTAACAATCAATAATGTTGGTCAATTTTTTTTAAAGAAAAAGTAACAATTTTATTGAATGAACCAAAGAATTACAAGAATCAAAAAAGGGAGAGAGATCCATATTTACAACACCAGCTCCAAGGCTTTAACACTCCTAAACATGGAAACATGTAAAAGCATTCTCCACCAAGCTCAGACTACCCAGAACAACAGCCAAGCCTCAACACAGCAGCAAAACAACCTTTACCAAGTTGGAATCAGCTCAACAACTAGCCACTACTCACCAAGCTTCTCCTTCAAGCACCATCCGCCCCAACCAAACTCGGCAGCGATTGTGACGAAGGTAGGAAATACCTACCCTTTATCATCAAAAAAGAATGACTTGTTCAGAAAAAAAAAAATAGAGACATGACAGGAAAAAGGAGTGCTAACCAATATACCAGATCAATGTAATCTTAGCTCATGAAATCGAAGTATCCAACAACTCTTTCAGAACAAACCAAAAACTCTTTCAGAAAAAAAAAAATTTACTCTTGACAACGAAATTCTCCAACTCATTTTGTAGGGAAAAAAAAAAAACTTCTCTTCGTCCCCACCATTAAAGCTTTAAAGGTGTTCCAACTCAAAATTTCGGCAACCATGGATAAACTTTCGTTTTGGAACTGGTACCATGAGTTATGGTGAAATTATAAAAACATAGAATAAAACACAACCACATATAGATCTAGGCATGAACTAGAGAGCTCCAACAGAAAGAAAGAAAGAAAAAATATTTAATGGACGAGAGCTTTAAAAATGGTGTACCAGCAGAGAAGAGAGAAACCAAAAAAAAAAAAATGCTGAAATATTTTATTATGTTTGCTCACTTGTTTTATAGTGGTAATCCAAAATTTCAAAAACTAGGGCGAGTGATTGAAAATTTGAATCTTCTGTTGAGAAGGGAAAAAAAAGTGATAGGAGGAGAGGTAACGGCAGAAAAAATTCCGTCTAAAAATTTGTTTAAATGATTGACTTGAAAATTTTTTGATAATAACCGACACATTATTGAAGTGATAATTTTTGATTGGTGTTAGTACCAGCTGTGTGTGCCAGGTTGGTACCTTATAAGCACATAATATTTTCTCACATTGTTGTGCTTATTTAGTCCGAGTGTCTAGTAAAAGGCCTATGCATAAAGAAACTAATAGATGGGTACAAACTCACTATCTCCGACTTCAATCCATTTACGTTGCATTCCTTCCTCTTCACTGCAATATATTCCATCCAATATATACAACCACCTCATACACTTCAACAATCAAATTAAACACAGAAGCAGCTGTTTTATAGTCGTCGCAGTCTCACCTTCCTCAGCCAAAGATGTCTGGCGAAGAACACTGCCACCATCGTACCCACCTACCCACCAGCCTTATCGCCGAAAAAAGAGCTCAGCGTTACACTTGGATCACAGCGTCGACATGGACGAGCTGTTATCATCAATTAGACAGACCGCAAATGAGCAAGAACTGTATTCTCTGTTGTCACCCTACAAGAGTCGAACACTTTCGATACGGTTCATGGTGACTCTTCTTTCACGTGAGCCCGACTGGCAAAGATCGGTCGCATTGCTAGACTGGATCAACGAAGAAGCTTTGTACACTCCCTCCGTGTTTGCGTACAACGTTGTCTTGCGTAATGTGCTTAGAGCTAAGCAGTGGCGGCTTGCGTCTGGACTGTTCGATGAAATGCGCCAACGAGCGTTATCTCCTGATAGGTATACTTATTCCACACTCATTACGCATTTTGGCAAAGAGGGTATGTTTGATGAAGCTTTATCTTGGCTTCAAAAGATGGAGCAAGACCGTGTGTCCGGTGACCTTGTCTTGTATAGTAATTTAATTGAGTTGTCGCGCAAACTTTGTGATTACTCCAAGGCCATATCTATTTTTTCTAGATTGAAGGGGTCGGGCATTACGCCTGATCTTGTTGCTTACAATTCGATGATTAATGTGTTTGGCAAAGCCAAGCTTTTTCGTGAAGCACGGTTGCTGCTTCAAGAGATGAGTTCAACTGGGGTTTTACCCGATACAATTAGCTATTCAACGCTTTTGAGTATGTACGTTGAGAACCAGAAGTTTGTGGAGGCATTGTCAGTGTTTTCTGAGATGAAAGAGGTTAAATGTCCTCTTGATCTCACGACGTGCAACATTATGATTGATGTATATGGGCTTCTTGATATGGCTAAGGAAGCTGATAGACTCTTTTGGAGCATGAGGAAGATGGGGATTGAGCCAAGCGTTGTTAGTTACAATACCCTTTTGAGGGTTTATGGCGAGGCTGAGCTTTTTGGGGAAGCCATACATTTGTTTAGATTGATGCAGAGGAAGGATATTGAGCAAAATGTTGTTACTTATAACACCATGATTAAGATTTATGGTATGACACTTGAGCATGAAAAGGCTAATAATCTCATACAAGAGATGCAAAGGAGAGGGATTGAGCCCAATGCTGTTACATACTCAACGATAATATCCATATGGGGCAAGGCAGGGAAATTGGATCGAGCAGCAATGCTGTTTCAGAAGTTGCGCAGCTCTGGGGTTGTCATTGATCAGGTCCTCTATCAGACTATGATTGTGGCATATGAGAAGGCAGGGTTGGTTGCGCATGCTAAACGCTTGCTCCATGAGCTTAAGCGCCCCGATAATATCCCTAGGGAAACCGCCATTACAATTCTTGCTGGAGCTGGTCGAATTGAAGAGGCCACTTGGGTCTTTCGGCAAGCTTTTGATGCTGGGGAGGTGAAGGATATATCGGTCTTTAGGTGTATGATTGATCTTTTCTCAAGAAATAGAAAGCACACAAATGTCATTGAGGTTTTTGAGAAAATGAGAGGAGCAGGTTATTTTCCTGATTCTAATATGATTGCTCTGGTCCTGAATGCTTATGGCAAGTTACGGGAGTTTGAGAAGGCAGATGCTGTATATAAGGAGATACAGGAAGAAGGTTGTATGTTTTCAGATGAAGTTCACTTTCAGATGCTGAGTCTCTATGGTGCAAGAAGGGATTTCAAGATGGTAGAGTCAGTGTTTCAAAGATTGGACTCCGATCCCAACATCAACAAGAAAGAGTTACATCTTGTTGCTGCCAGCATTTACGAAAGAACAAATAGATTAAATGACGCCTCTCGAATCATTAACAGGATGAGCGACAAAGGAATTCTAAAATCATGGCCATCTTAGTAAGTCATCATCCTGTCCCTCCTTCAATTGAATTGCCTGTTGTATACAATATATTGTGTTCGAAATCCCTTTGGCTCGTTGAATATAAGGTCTGTTGTAGAGTTCTAAACTAGGTACACAATGCTTGTCATCATAGTGCTGCTCCTCGTGTAATTTATTTATCCCCGAAAGAAAAGCAGAAACTGGAAAGATGATTGTATAGTCATGTAGAAGAGCATCAGCTTTATCATTCCACTTTTCCTTTCGCCTCCTTGTGAAGTTCTCTTTAGGCTATATCTGCTACATATGTTCGGAAGCTCGGCCATTTTACATGTACCTTGATTAATTTTTTTTTTGATTTGGTCAAAAGTAGATCATCCACGTTGAGATTAGAATATTTATGAGGGATAAATCCCTCATGGCCCAGACCCAAAAGATTGCCAAAATTTAAACTCAGAATGACTGAGTTTATAGCTCGTCCCTATTACTAGTGTTTTGAAAAGCTCGCCTAGGCAAGAAGCGAGGCGAGGCGAGCTTATCTCGCCTGGAGGACCCCAGGCGAAGCGAGAAAAAGCAAAAAAACGAAGAAGCGAAAAAAAGCAAAAAAAGCAAAAAAGCGAACGTTTTATTATAAGAGGCGATTCTGCTTTTTTTTTTTTTTTTTTTTTTTTTTTTTCTGATTACAGGTTAGTAGTCTCTTTTATTTTTTAATCACTAATGACTTTTTTTTTAAACTATCGCTAGTCTATTTTTTTTTTCTAATAAACAATGTTTCGAACAAAACACATTCTTTTTTTTCCTTGTGTTTCTAAATTCATTTAGAATATTTGTGGGATGTGGGAGTCAGGCGACTGTATGACAAAATTATGATAAAGAAAGGAAGTAGGAGTATCAGGAATGAGGATAAATAATAGAGTTTTTTACAAAAAAGTGTCTCTGATATGTCTTGGTTATATTTTCCCCTTTTCTTATATATATACAAATGGTACCAAAAAGTGATCTATGATTATACCATGTTTAATTATTTTAGTACATGTAAAATGTGTCTCTATTCTGCTTTTTTTATTCAGTACATAATTACATATGAAATTGTTTACAATTGATTTTGTTCCTGTCATGATCATTGTGCTTCTGTTTTTTTTTTTAGCTTATTCTGCTTCTATTTTTTTTGTTGATTCTGTTGTTGTTTCGCTTTTGCTGTCATGTGCTATTTCTGTTTTTTTTTATCCTCATTCTGCTTTTTTTTTTTGTTGTTGATTTTGCTGCTGTTCTGATTCTGCTTCTTTTGTTGTCTTACCCTGTCAATATGAAAATGTATATAATTGTTAGTATTTGTTTGAATTTAAATGTTTAAGTTATGACTGTTATTAAGAATTGAGATATTATTAGTGTTTGTTTTAATTTAAGTGTTTATGGTTTTAGTTGCATTTAAATATTTAGTATATATAAAATTAGAACTTAGATTATTTAGAAGTAATTAAACTAAAATATATATTTTTTTAACTGTTCGCTTTGCTTCGATAAAGCGTGTCGCTTCGCTTCTCGCCTAGGCGTTAAGAGCCTTGATCGCTTCGGTTCACTTTATGCCTTAAATAACACTGCCTATTACCACTTGAGTAATCCCTTGAATTATATGTCCAAAAGTTCACCAAGCTATACTATACAAAATACCTAAAATAGGATTTTACATCCTACATAACCGAGGTGTTTAAAAATATTGGAGGGTAAAATTAAGGGCTTTTCACATTTAGTATCTCGAAAAATATTTCGATTCCCACTTTACACCCTAAAAAATTATTTTTTTTATATTGCACCCTGCATGACATAAATTGGTTCCAATGTAGTCCTTGAACTAACATTTGTTTTAAATTCTATTAAATTTGATGCACATGACACGCACGTGTGTTGCTCTTAGACAAAAATATAAACTCACAATTCATATTCTTGTATGGTATGTGCATCAATTTTTAACGGAATTTGAAACGAATGTTAGTCCGAGGGTCACATTGAAACCAATTTATGATATTTAGAGTGTAAAATAGAAAAAATAATCTTTCAAAGTATAAAGTGAGAATCAAGACATTTTTAGGGGTGCAATATGCGAAAATCCCAAAAATTAATATCAAAATGTTTGTCATGTGAAGTGAGCAATCTCATCTTTGGTTTTTACTTCTTCTTTAGCATGGATTCAAAACTATCAAAAACGATCCGATCGTGTGCAACTGGGCACGAGAAAGTTGCAAATTCCTCACGGTTAATCACATCATCTTTGCATTTGTCTTCATGTTAGATGGACTTAAAAATTATGTTTGATTATTTCAATCATTGAATAAGTAGTATATCTCAATAAATATTGAGACTTACAACGAAATCAATTGTTATAATTATCAAGTCTAATTTTTAAATCCATGTAACATTACTCTTGCATTTATCTTGCACGGTCCTTGAGTTCTTGATTCATATATTTTGTCAATAGCCACGGAGTTTCAGTCTCTTTTGCACATTTAACTTATTATCCCATGTTTATTTTGTATATTGTCAGATACAGTACTAGATAAAATTACGTATTATTTTAATCTCATTTAATCTTATTTTTTGTTCATCTGTATTATATTAGACTGAATAATTTTATCTAATTTATTCATTTCTAATAAGAAAACCAAACAAGTCCAAAGTCATTCCCTCGACAATCTGGCCTTAAAAAATCTAAAAATATTCTTTGAAACTATGATAAAGTATGAGAAATCAGTGTAGAAAGTTCTGTTAAATAATAAAAAAATATAAGAGTATCAGCATAAAATATTCTATTGTTGTGTAAACAATACTCTATTGTTGATTTTTTTTTCTTTTTAATCAAATGAAAGGTTTTATTGGTGGTTTGGGATCATTTTGTTAATTTCGTTTGGTTTGGTTTGGTTTGGTAGGTGAGAAATCTTAAGTATTGAAAGCAATGATTTGTTAGGTACGAATACATTATTAGTAGTTAGGTTTTAATACATTAAAATTCCTTGATTTTTTCTAGAAGAGGGAAAAAAATTATGATGACTCCTACTAAGTACCAAATTTGGATTGACAATTACCAAAAAACAATTGACACTCCGGTTGAGAAAGTCTTTTATTTTTTGATTACAGTGTATTTAGATTTAAGCCGACTATTTTTTTAAATAATTTAAACCAGTTTAAAAACATATTCCCTTAAAAATAAGAGTAATTGAGAAATATTAAATTTAAAATCTCTTATTTACAAGAGAATAAAATTGATCATTGGACCACCTTTAAAGACTCAGATTGAAAAAGTCTGATTGTTTAGATGTTTATGTGAGTTTTGAGTCCTAAATCTAAGTTGTTACACCAAGAACTTTTTTTTGTTCAAATTCATGACTAATTAAACGGCTCCAATTATAAATTCGATGAAAAAAAGTTTAGTCTTACCTACATAGGACTATACCTTAAACCGAGTTCAAATTATAAATAATTAATCATTCATTCATTTTTCTTAAAATATAATGAGTTTTGTACAATTTGTTTCTCAAGCTGATTAAATTTAAGAAAATAATTCACCTTGAGATGAATTTTAGATATTTAGAAAACGATTTTTATAATTTAGGGAGTGGACAAAATTGCAATCCATAATTGAAGATGGACCGACCCACAATAAATACTTCAGACGGGTCAGACAACTACTGGGACTCATGCACCATTTTCAGCCGTCCGATCAAGTAATGGTGGACCAGTATTCGAAAGAATCATGTCCTCACCATTCTCAACCGCTCGATCAAAAAATAGTAGGGCCCAACTTTCTTAAGACTGCTAACATTACCCATTTGATTCCTTCAGTCACGGCAACAGATCTGAAACACAAACCAAGCTTTTCCTTCTTTTTTCTGTAACTTCAACAGTTTGGGGATGTCTAAACGCACCTCATCAAATATAAATCATTCACACGAGGACCAAAATGTGTACGGGGATGACCAACTATAGATGACTGAGATTTGAATTTAAAATATTTAAATTTATGATCTGTCTCTATTATCACTTAAATTATTTCTTAAAATTACAAATCAAAAATTTTCAACTATCGATAAATGAGCAATGTTATTAAAATATAATTTATTAGTCTAATTTATTAAACTAATTTACTGTAACTCTTAAATGGACTGTAGATCCCATTAAATATTAAAATTTGATATTAATCTAATAATTATAATAAAATTATATCATTAAATCAATAAACTAAATTAATTTTTTTGGTACCAATAAATTCCTATTTATAACTGCTGCTACCGTTTTAGACGCGTACAAGCCAGAACTTCTAATTCCAACACCCAACCACACTTCCAGACAGAGAGATATACACAACGGAGAGAGAGAGAGAGGTGTTATCAGATATACACAATACACTCCAGATTACCCAGATTACAGAGAGAGGAAGAAAGGTACAAACGGAGGAGCTCCACCCTCTTTCCCTCACTTTCCTAGATCAGTTCTTCTTACTTTCTTTCTTCCCAAACACTCTTGCTCTTCAGCTCCCTATATACATCTGGAGAGAGAGAGGGAGAGAGAGAGGGGGTAAGGTTTGTTGTTGGGTGAGATGAAGAAGCTGAAGAGCTATTACATGCACCTAAGACACCCAAAAACAATGGAACGCAAATGGATCTTCCCACTAGCCATTGGCTCCATACTCTCTCTATTCCTTCTGTTCCTCGCAACCCTAACTTCCCCTGACGGTACTCCTCTCCTGCCACTCTACCGCTACGCCACCTCCTCCTCCTCCTCCGTCTTCGTCGAATCCAAGCTCCACCCAAAACCTATCGCCACTCTCCCACCACCACCCCGCTTTGCCTACCTCATTTCCGGCTCCAACGGCGATGGAAACATGCTCAAACGCACGCTTCAAGCCCTTTACCATCCCAACAACCGCTATGTCGTGCATTTGGATGCTGAATCGTCGCCAGAAGAGCGTATTGATCTGCAAAATTTTGTGAAAAATCATCAGGTGTTTGTGAAATTCGGGAATGTGAGGATGATTACCAGGGCGAATCTTGTGACCTATCGTGGGCCGACAATGGTGGCCAATACTCTCCACGCCGCCGCGATCCTGTTGAAGGAAGGTGGGGATTGGGATTGGTTCATCAATCTCAGTGCCTCGGATTATCCACTTGTTACTCAAGATGGTAAGTGGGTCTTTAATCCAGTTCTTCGATTGTACACTTTATGTTTTGTGTGATTGAATTTGTGTTCATTCATTGATTAATTGATGATTTGTTTAATGGGTTCTGGTTGATTAGATCTTCTTCACACGTTCTCATACTTGCCGCGGGTTCTTAATTTCATTGATCATACTAGTAACATTGGGTGGAAAGAGTAAGTAATGCTTGTGGCTCTAGACAGTTCTTTAATCTAGTTGTTTGTGCGTAGCTATTATTACTTGTGTGCTATTTATGTAGGTTTCAAAGGGCAAAGCCAATCATTATTGATCCAGGGTTGTATATGACAAAGAAATCTGATGTTTTCTGGATTACTCAGCGAAGAAGTGTGCCAACAGCCTTCAAACTTTTTACCGGTACAATTCGGCTTCATTTACTTATTCAGCTATTACTTTTGTAGTTTATATTTTCTTTTCGATTCATTATTTATGGTAGTTGTTTTGTCTTAAATTTGTTTATGATAGTATGTTTACAGTTTTCAGTGTTCAAATGGTTTGTCTTCCAAATGTGTGATTCATATTTCACGACATTTCTTACTTGATAAGGTATTTTAGTGTGGTCCTATTGGGAAGTTAGAGATCTCACAGATTATGATTATCCATTCTGCTTTAAATAATAATTGAGGCCAATCTCTTTCTCATTGGAATCTTAATTATCATTTGCAAGTTGGCTTTTTTTTTTTTATCTCTGAGTTTATTAAACTGGATTCCTATGTGAACAATGGTGAAAACCATGAGGACTTCTGTACTTGTGTTAAAAGTTTAGTGTTGTCAAGCATTTAATGGTTAGTTGTTTTTGGAAATTCTAAGTAATAGGTGACTGCTAATATGTACAATTATTTTGTACATCCCACATGTGGCAAATGCATTCTTCAAAGTTTGGATTATGGTGCTGGTGGTGGAAGGTGATCCTATCATCCCTGTGTTTCCTATACCCTTCTCTTTGTTAAGTGATTTTAAGTCTAGTAAGATAAGGTATACATGACAATGGGATCTCAACTGACACTGGTAGTGAAGGGTTACAAATGTAGTGTATCTGACCCTTTCTATGGTATATTAAATTGGTGAATAAGGTTAAAAAAGGAGGGCATAGAAGAGATGCAGAAGCAGAAAATGGTTTGAATTGGCTAGGCTTCTGGGTCTGTGCTTCTAGGACTCTTCATCAAGTGAATTATTAATGGCTAAGAATTCAGATTCCTCTAAGACAATCTTTCTGTTAATATTAAGCTTGGATTACAGCTCTATTTGCTACAAATAGATGACAGAAGATTTCATATTTTTTTGAAAGTTCTCAGCTCCGATTATAGTTGCCAGGAAAACCGAAGCTGTCCCCTTCCTGGAAAAAAATAATATTTTTGGGAAAGAAATTGTGTGCAGTACAATTTTATATCATAAAAATTAGTTCATATATGGTTCTAGTGAATAAAGGATACAGCCGTATGCTGTGGGCTTGCATTCCATTCCGATATTCTATAATGTACACTAAGTTATTGATATCAATGGCCAATATTATAGTTGAAATCTTCCAGAAAATAGCTGGAAAAAGAGTTCTTGTTCCCCTCCACTCCTAATCCATTTTGTCCTGATGAAAGTGTGAGGTTATTCAGAAAAGTTAAATTTGAATAGGAAAGCATCTTATTCTTATCTCCTCTTTCCATAGTATTGTTTTTCTGGGTATTGTTTGAATAGAGTAAATTTTAGACAGCATATGCTTCATGTTCGATTAGGTATCTTGTTTATAAAGGGATGGCCCCCGCAAAAAAGAAAAGAAAAAAAAAAGTTGAATGGACGAGACCCCTTGCATTAGTAATAAACTCCGATGGATGGTGAGAAGTACTCTGATATATTACCCACATGAATGAGATGATGTTTAATTTTGACAGTTAGTTTTCTCGTTTTCTCATCAATAAATTGACTAGTATATTAAAATGTAGTCTACTTGGGATGTATTCTAAAGACTTTCAGTCAGTGTCAATAATAATTCAGTAATACTTGATTGATTGCCCAGCAAAAAAAGAATATAATAGTCTTCACTGACCTACATTTAATTGGTTATGCGAATTAGAAGTTTCTTCCGCATTTAGAGTAGAGATTTTCTATGGGATAAAAGTTTTGCAGTGATCAAAGTTTATCTATACCTTGCACTAATCCAAAATATTGCACATTGCACCTATACGTGAGTACTGAAACCAACTTCCTGCCTTTGTTTTAGGATCTGCTTGGATGGCACTTTCTCGGTCTTTTATCGACTTCTGTATATGGGGATGGGACAACTTACCTCGAACGGTCCTTATGTACTATGCAAATTTCATCTCCTCCCCAGAAGGCTATTTCCACACGGTCATCTGTAATGCTCAGGAGTTCCGCAATACAACTGTAAACAGCGATCTCCACTTCATATCATGGGACAACCCTCCCAAGCAGCATCCCCACTACCTTACCCCTGATGACATGCAAAAGATGGTGGACAGCAATGCCCCATTTGCAAGGAAATTTCACCAAGATGATCCGGTTCTTGACAAAATTGATTCTGAACTTCTTTTTCGAGGTCAAGGCATGCTTGTTCCTGGTGGATGGTGCATAGGAAGCCAGGAAAATGGGACTGACCCATGCTCGGTTGTTGGTAATATTACCGTACTCAGGCCTACTGGAGGAGCCAAGAGGCTGGAAAGTCTGATCAGTTCTCTCTTATCAAATGATAATTTCCGACCCAGACAGTGCAAATAGCCAAAACCTGTTTCATCAACAAATTTTCTTTTTTAACAATAGGTCATTTACAGCAAGAAAGGGACGATCTGATCAAAGAATGACAATTCTTCTGGTAGGTAAAAGAATGCTTGAGCTTACGCGCTCTTGCTGGCTTAAAGACACCCAGCAATGAGTTGGATTAAGTGGAAAGAAATGAATATTTGCTGCTGCAGCCTGTGAGAATAATGTATACATGTTTCTGGTCTGGGTTTTGTGCCTGTAGCCATTTTTGTTTACCCCTTTTAGCTGTAATAATGACCAGGACTTCCCAGTTTTGCACCAAAGCTTGCCATGGACTAGGTGTTGTTGTGACCACTTTGGCAAGGTGAATATTGGGAGAAGGGGAGGAAAGAAATTAGTTACATGACATTGTATATCATATTATCAGCAACCAGTTCTTTTTAATGTGGTATGGTGGTTGGAGTAAGTGCACAAGAAGTATATTTGGTTTTTTTATATGATGAAGTTATGGTACTACAGAGGTATTTGGTCGAAAATTGACCTGGATTGTTGATTTTAATTTGATTTATTATTGGCATTATTGGTTCTTAGTTAATGTCATTGCATAATGTCCCATGAATATGTTTTCTTCCAATTTTTACTTAATTTACATCATCTAACATTATTCAAGTGGGATTTTTTATAAACTCTTAGGAGTGGTTGAGTTTAGTCTCTAAAAAGTTTAGAGGTTTCAGATTCAACACTGTCAGTCACCCTTAATCCTCAAAAGACATATTATAAACTCGTTTGGATTACAGTAGCCAGTATTTGAGTTTGAAAAAATAATTGGCACAAACTTGAACATCATTCAACAAAATAAAAAATGAGATTTGTTATGTAAAAATGAATCGGCCACCAATATAAAAATGGGTCCTCCATCAATATGTTTGGGTTATTTACCGTTAAAAGACAAATATATTATTTCCAAATTGTCAACAAAATTGCCACGTGAAAAAACCTATTATCCCCAAAACAAACAAAAATATTGCCAAACCTCCTGCCACAAACCTTCACATTTTTTTTTTTTTGGTATTGTGATTAGGAATGGCAATGGAGTAAAGCGGGGGCATCTCCATCCCCGTACCTGCTTAAAATAATTTTGTTCATTTCTGATCTACTTCTGTTAACGGGTATATTTTTCATCCTCATCCCTGTTCGCGAGTAAATTTGTAATCCCCTCCCCAGCCCCGTCCGCCGCCGCCATGTCCACCTTACCCGTCCCAGCTCCAGCCCTAGCCCTAGCCTTGGCCCCAACCCCAGGCCCAGCCCAAGCCCAAACCCAAGTTCAAGTCAAAGATAATTCAAAATTCTAAATAAATCTAACATTTTAAATAATTCAACATAATTATAGAATATCATAACATAATTAAAAGCTTATCATTTACAACATAATTCAACATAATATAATTAAAATCTTGTCTCTCATGTAAATCCAACACTACAATGCAATACAACATAATATAACATAACATAATCCAACATAAAAAAATACAAAAAACACAAAGATCTACTCTTTTATAAGCAAAAAACATGAAATAAAAGTCAAAAAATAAAACAATTTTCAAAAGAAAAAATCATTCGATAACATGTAGATTTGTATTCACAACAATATGTATATATATAAAATAATAAAATAAAATAATAATAATAATAATAATAAAACGGGGCGAGGCAGGGCGGGGTGAGGGTAAGTGTCAGTCCATCCCCGCCTTCATCCCCATACGGTTTTATACGGGTATTCTCGTATACGTCCACCGTTCAATACGTATGGTCTATTTTCGATCCAAACGGGATGGGTTTGGACAAATACTCATTTTTATCTGGTAAATTGTCATTCTTAATTGTGATTAGGATTGTTTATATCAACTTATGCATATCTCGATTAATTTCTTCTTTGGTTCATTCAAAAACAAGTCATTCACACTAAGAGTAGAAAATTTATGAGAAATAAATTCTTCATGATCACTTAGGCCCAAGAGATTATCAAATCAGTAATGCTACGTTAACCAAAATTAGGGACCAAATAAAGAGCTCAAATGACATGACAGTTGCTGATATAGCAAGATTAACTGCCACATCAATAAGATTAGCTATCATATCAACAAAATCCTTTTCGTATTCTCCAAATCAAGGACAGATGGTGATGAGCCCGAAATTGACTAGGCCGAGCCCAATTAAAATAAAATGAGGAGAGCCCAATCGAAGTTGGGTCAACCCATCAGGATAAAGTCCAAAGCACCAAGGAAGCCAACGCCCAAGTGAGGAGCCAGAGAGGCGTTGCCCAAGGGGTCACCCAAGCCAAGCGCCGCCCAAGGCTACCTTTGGTCCTCCTCCGTCCTCTTCTCCCTTCTTCACTCCGATGCAAGTCCAAGTCCAGCCCAACCCATTCCAAGTTCATGCTCAAGATCAGGATCATCCTTCGATGGAATAGGGACACGAGCGAGGGAATATCAGGATACAGAGATCCAATCCTATAAATTTGTACTTACCAAAATGGGAAAAAAACCCCTTTCGCATGTCACAACCTCACCGCCTTGGTGAACCTATATAATGTGAGTCCACTGCACATAGAGGGCATGCCTTCATGACCTTGAGACCTCTGCAAGATCCCTACACATATACTACACCGCCCTACACACATTGTTCCCCTCTCTTAAAGCATGGTAATTCTCCTGGAGTATATTTTCCCAGTTATACTATTCATCAATAAAGATCTCCGGCCATCGCTGTCATTCCCGAGAGTGGAGTAGGTCACCCAGATCAAACCACTATAAATTTTCGTGTTAGCTCTTTATTTACTGCTTTACCATTAATTGTTTGTTTGTCGCTCATTAGCTACACCCGTTACATATTCTTGACTGTTGATTTTGCGCAATACCGATGTGTGCATCATTAGTTTGGCGTCATCTGTGAGAAACGACTAGTTTTCTACTCTCTTTCATTCCATGAAGATCACTACCAGATCAATGAGCCAACAGTCGGGAGACAACAACCCGGCCCGCCGGGAGGAGGCTCCGCCTCCCCTCGCACCTGTGGAACTATTTGCTACTGCGACTCTCGTCGGGCAACAGCAACAGCTCCTCCAAACCATGTAGCTGCTAGTGAGAAAAAATCAGCAGACCATCCAACTGATGCTTGCCCAAGGAGGTGTCGCCCCTCACCCTGTGGGAGGAGCCCCACTCCCTCCAACAGTAAAGGAGCAACAGTCTGTCCTTTCTGGGCGCCAAGCGATCCCCCACCATGGGGCCCCTTGCTAGAACACTCCAGGGCCACGCCAAGGCATCCCTTGCTCAGAAGTCCCTACTCAACGTGTAGGGAGTTCACGACTTCCTTCTCCTCATGAACTGGTGCAGAAAAACAAACATAGAGAAAGTCAATAAGAAGACTATAAAAGCTAGTACTATCACCCAACTGAGGATGTCCCCAATCACTGGGACAAGAAGATTAGGGAGGTACAAAACTAACTTGGTGATGTCCTCAACGTCATCAAGGCACAAGCACCTAAAATCGTGGACTACTTGGTAAGACGTACTGACATGCCTTTTATTGCTGATATTATCAATTATCCTCTGTCTTCGAAATTCAAGATACCCATCATCGAGATCTTCGATGGCACCAAGGACCCGCTCGACTATCTTAACACATATAAGTCCCTAATACAACTTCACAACGTATCTGAGGAGATTATATGCAGAGTCTTCCCTACCACCTTGAAGGGGTCTGCTCGCCAGTGGTTCTCCAAGCTTAGGACCTCCTCCATCCACTCTTTCGTAGAGTTGAGTAGGTCTTTCGTCTCCCATTTCGTTGGGGGACGCCGACATCAGAAACTAGTGACCCACCTATTCACCATCAAGCAAGATAGGGATGAAAGTCTCAGAAACTACCTTGTCCGCTTCAATGGGGAGATTCTCCAAGTTGAGGAGCTAGATGGTAAGGTAGCTCTGGCTGCCTTTATCGCTGGACTCCACACCTCCAGCTTCATGTTCTTAGTCCTCAAGAAATCGCCCTCCAGCATGCCCGAGCTGCTGTCCAGTGCATAGAAATACATGAATGTTGAGGATATCACCAAAGCCCGTAAAGGTGAGTCCTCCCGAAGGAGGAGAAAAGGAAAGATAACTGAGAAGACAGAAGAGAGATCGAGAACAAGAGAAAGAAAGCCAAAAGGGTCTCCGTAAAAGACCATCTCGAACCACTGCCCCTGAGAGACCGACAACCATTCACTCCACGCAATGCCTCAGTAGAGCACATTTTATTCCAAATACAGGATGACCCCACAATCCGTTGGCCCGAAAAGATAAAGTCTGACCCAAAACACCAAAATTCCAGCAAGTATTGTCGCTTCCACCGCGACCATGGACATGACACAGACGACTGCTCCCAGCTAAAGAATCAAATTGAGAAACTTATCTAGTGGGGTCACCTTAAACAGTATGTGGCTGGTCGAGGACCAGCTTCTCCACACAAAGAACGAGAGCGCCAGTAGCCCCTCAACGAGATTTAGAATACCGCAGGAGAGTTAGGAGGAGGAGGTGACTCCAACTCTGCCAGGAAGGCACACTCCTGTAGAGCCAGATAGGCAGATTCTTATGACTCTTGCCCAATGAAGACACCCCGACATGGGGAGAAGGAGGTCATCACATTCACAAACAGAGACCTTAAAGGGATCCAGGTCCTATATGATGTCCCTCTAGTTTTGACCTTGATGGTGGCCAATTACCAGGTCAGGAGAGTCCTAGTCGATAGTGGCAGCTCCGCCGATATTCTATTTGCCACTGTGTATGACAGCCTTCACCTAGGGAGAGAGAGATTGCAGCCAGTCAGGACTCCCTTAGTTGGCTTCTCAGAAGAGAGAGTCTAGCCCTTGGGATCTATCACCCTGCCTGTCACAGCAGGGACTACACCGAGGAGCTCTACTATCTTGGTAAGCTTTCTTATACTTGATTGCCCTTATGCATATAACATAATTCTTGGATAACCTGCCCTCAATGCCCTAAGGGTAGTACCATTAACATACCACATTCTCCTCTGTTTCCCAACCTCCAGTAGGATTGGGGAAATAAGAGGAGATAAGGTCTCAGCTCGAGAGTGTTATGTGGCCTCTATGAGGGCTAGAAGACCACATAAGACTCTTCAAGTTGAAGTGCTTGACCCTAGGGACGATAGTACCATGAAAAAGGGTAAACCTGCAGAAGAGCTTCAGCCTATATTATTCGACGACAGCCTTCTAGAGAGAAAGGTCTACATAGGCTCCTCACGCTCTCAAGAGCAAAGCATTCGCCTTAGTAGACTTCCTCAGAAGGAATATAGACGTCTTTGCCTGGTCCCACAAAGACTTGGAGGGCAAAGACCCTGAGGTGGCCTCTCACCGACTAAATTTTGACCCTAGATACAAGCCTGTCCGCCAGAAGTTGAGGAGTGTGAGCACTGAGAGGGGACAAGCCATTAAGAAGGAGGTAGACAAGCTACTAACGAATGAGTCAGTGAGAGAGGTAGCCTACCCAGACTAGCTATCCAATGTGGTT